CGGCCAGGGCAGTGATGAGCAGAGCCATGCCATGGGCAGCACAGGCCATGACCTTCAGTATGGGGTTTCTTCAGAAATGCATGGTTTAACGTAAGGCTCTTTCCACCTTCCTGAGAAGTCCTCCCCACAGATTCATGACCCAGCTGAGGCGCTGTGCTAGTGAGAAACTCTTGCAGGGTACTTTTTGTCAGGGGGTCTCAGAGTTTTTTAGCAAGTTTGGGGAAAAGAGAGGCACAAACCAGCAGTGGGGTTTATCACAAGACACGGTCTGTGAGCAGAACCCATATGAGAAAGAATGGTTGCATTCCACTCCTGGGGTGCACTAACCAGCCTGGGTTTGCTACCGCAGTGCCAGAATGCAGAAAAAAAAGCATCAAGGCTAAGCTAAGGATGTTTCACCAAAAATTTTCCTTCCTACCCTCCCCTCAAAAAAACCCAAACCAACAAAAAACCAAGAGAACAAGTACTGCTTTTCCATTTAGCAGTAAGTTTTGCAAGGCGATTTCATCTGGTGTCGACATCTTGGAAATCTTAGTGAATCTCCTCAGTTACCCCCTCCAAAAATGCTGAAAAAGCCACACACAAAAAAACTTGCTGCAAGGGCTTTGCAAGGTTTGTTTCATGTTGTTTGTTTATCTTCTTTAACAGCATTCCCTGTTTCCCCCTTTTTATTTTTCTTCTATTTCACAAGTGGATGTTGAAAAAAAAAGAAGGGAGACTCAAATAAAGAGGGAATAAGCTGAAAACTGGGGAAAGAGCTGACCCCTACCCCTTCCCCTCTGCCAAAAATAAAGGTTTGCAAAAATTCTCCTAGGATTATTTTCTTCCTTGTTTGCATTGTTTTCCTGAAGAAGTATGAAGCAATTCCGGCTTTAGAGCTTTTTCTAGGGATAGCAGAATCATGCCATGGGCCTTTCATCCAAGGAGAAGTGCAGGGATGGTTTTCTGTTGTTCCAATTGTCCTTTCTTTCTCCTCCTTCCCCTCATAAAGAATCTGCTCTTCAAAGGTGTCAGACCCTCTCTGCAGAGCAGATGAACACCAGTGCAGTTCACCACTGCTGCCAGCAGTTCCAGAGGTTAATGGTCCCCCTGGTTTGGACGGGTTGACTTCTGGGCACAGTTATGTGCTGCAGAGAAATGAGGTGGGGGCACATGGCTACAGAATGAGTTGGGACAAGACCTGGCTCAGACTACAAGAGTCCAGAGTTAAGGCCCACTTGGAAGGTGACGGCAGCTGCAGGTCTTTCGGGATTGTCCATCCCAGGAGTTCAGAAGCCAGGGGATCAGGTGCCAGCTCGTGGGGTTGCCACCCTTGTTTAATGTTGCTTTCTCCCACGTGCTTTCTTTTGGAATCTGGTGACCCTGTGTTATGTTTTCACACACTTTCCCTTGGCCAGGAGAGGTAGCAAATGGCTTTCCTTTTTGAAATGGAAAGCTAAGACTCTTGTGTAGTCACCTGGCTCCAGAAACTGTGGCTTGAGGAGTCTGACATCATGGCATTTACCAAAAGTGAGATTTATGTTGACAAGAACTGGCATTATCTTGCTCGCTTGCTTGCTATCTATCATGTCCCCCCCCCCCCCCTCTCA